GAAGCTCTTCAAGCTCTCAGCCTCCCACAGCTTTCACAACGGGCCTTTGGTAGAGGAGAGGACCGGGAGCAACCCAGGCAGTGCCTGAGCTTGGTTATATCGGGAGCTCACCCCTTAACAGGCACCAGAAATCCATACGGGATTTCAAAAAGCTTCTCCCTAGGTTTGGGCTTTATTTAGCAACCAGCCTCAGCCAGCCACGAGATACAAAGCACAGACAACCCTGCAAGTGTCTTTTAAAGTTCAACCTTGATACGTGTATTTTTATGTATACTTCAAGTGTAAGTGCATTTTACAGGCCCAGAAGGGGCTCCATCTACCTGAAGTTCACACAAGCCCCGTGACGACCCATGGCTCCCAACGAGCTGGCGGCGCCATCTGTGCCCAGGGCCCTGTTCCTGGCGCCACTGCCTTCTAGGGGGTCGCCAATCTCACCCCATCCACCCACAGAGTGCCCTGAGGTTTTACCTAGGCAACCCCAAACTCAAATATTAACAAGCCCAATTAGTGGCATGGCCACAACGGGATGGTGCAGGCAGTGGCTGCGTGCAGGTGAGGAGATAACGCAGCAGCAGCAAGATTCACCTGTCCCCGTGCCATAGGCCCAATGCTGGCACCACCACCTTTGCCGCAGCCCTCCCCGTGTTCCTTCACCAATATCCTCCACAGGGCATGATCCTGAAAGGCACCAGCCCTACACCCTCAGAAAAAAGCTGTATTTTAGTAAGCGGTGAGGAACAGGCTTTGAATCTGTGATACTTTGAGATCTCCAGAATTAAAGTCACACAGCTGCCGAGCGAAGGTCTTTCACGTGCTGCTCACAGTTATTTGATCTCTGCACGTTACAAATCACCCAGACACACCTCACTTGTAACCTACACACCTCACAGCAACTCATTAGGTTTTTAGAAGAGTGCTCTGCAAGGATGAAGAGAGCATGCTTTAGGCCTCGGCATCGCAGTGCAGGCGGCAGGGCCTGGCTCATTAACAGCTCCGAGGCCCACAGCAGATAGAGGCCAAGACCTAGGGAGCAGGAGGGATGAGCCACTTCTGGTCTGCATCTATACCTACAGCCTAAGGGCACAAACAAAGAGAATCAACTTCAAGACTGCATTCCCAAAAAAAGTTAGCCACGAGCCTAGGCAACTTGCTGAGAAATATATGAAAGCACAACCCTGAGGGCTGCTACCTTGAATGAGTCTGTTTTTCTAATGTCTACAAATCCGATGCTCTCCAGTCTGAATATTTATACCATTACTGTTATTTTTCCTTACAAACTGACTCCTTTGCACGTCCTAGATAAATATAGATGTAATTCTGATACATATTTTGAAGCGTGTTTCTTTCAAATCACCCTCTCTATTTAGCTATCCTAAATATGGAAGCCTGGAACATTACAGCACTGAGGAGCTACAGAATTACTTGCACAGAGATTCTTGTAATGGTTCTAACCCCAAAGTTGCCACTAAGGCAAAAACACGACTAGACTAAGCAGTCACAGAGTACAGCAAATATCCGGCTGCTCGGTGCCATTTGTGCATTACCGAGGGGACTGCGAGCTTCAGAGTAACCAAAGGGGTTTATTTTAGGGAAAGACACGTGGCTACGTATTTTAAACAGCTTTGATAACTTGAGCACAAACATTTCACCAAAGCAGATGTTCAGGCATCCAGTTGAAGGCACGCGAGCAGCATTTAATACCTAAGCAAAGCACACTACGATGCTGGGGGTGGCTCATATCCAGCATGAAAACACCGACAAGGTGCTGCCTGACCAGAAAGCGACGGGCTGGCTGCAGGCACGAAGCAGCGAGGCATTTAACTTGGGTTCAGCCACCAGCTGGAAGAATCGACCACCGGAGAGCCAGGAGCCGCAGCCTGCGCCATCCGATGCTATTAACCAGCTCCTGTGGGACGGGTAAGAGGGCGCCGTGCCCACCCAGCCCTCACTCATGGGGCAGGAGGAGGTCACCGCTGCCATCGCGGGGCGGACATCGCGCTGGTACCCGCCATCGCCCTTACCTCCATCAGCGTACGTCTCGGTGCCATAGCCGTCCTGCAAGCCGTTATTCCAGGTACCTTCATACTTGGCTCCACTGCTCATGCTCTGCCTCGTGCCGTACCGTCCCTTAAAGCCGTGGGTCCACTCGCCCCTGTAAACCCACCGCCCTTTGGTCTCAATCCCCAAGCCGTGCCTCTTGCCTTGGGACCAGTACCCCTCGTAGGTGTTGCCGCTGGGCCACGTGTAGATGCCCACCACCTCGAAGCCGTAGTTCCAGGAGCCCGAGTACTCGCCCTGACCCTTGGGGCCGGTGCAGATGCCGTGCCCATGGGCTTTGCCCCCTTCCCAGCCTCCGCAGTAGGCGCCTCCATCATCGAAATCGAACCTGCCTCCGCTCATGGCACCGGCTCCTGGCTAGGGGGGAGCCCCCCAGCGCCCCCCCCCTCAGCCGGGCAGGGGCAGGAGCCGGGGGCGAGGCTGCCCCATGCTGGGAGGCTCCGGCCTCTGCTGCCGGGCCTCGCCTGGCCGTGGGAGGCCGGCGAGGAAAAAAAAGATGGGGGGGGGTAAAGGAAAAGAAAAAAAAAAAAAAAAAAAAGGAGGGGGGTCCCAAGCCCCCGCCCCAAGCCTTTCCCCGCCCGGAGGGAGGTCAGCGCTGCCCTAACAAGGCCATCGGAGGCCGGGAGCTGCTCCCAAAAATAACCCCGCGGGCCGGCCCCCGCCTCGGGGCCCTTTTATGAAGGAGGAGGAGGGAGAGGCCTCCACCCCCCCACCCCCCCCCACCTCCGGGCGGGCAGCCAGCAGAGGAGAGGCTGGGAAAGTGAAATAGCCGAAAATAGCGCCTGGGAAGGGGCGAGCTGCTGCCCGGCCGCCTCCCGGAGGCTGGGAGCGCCCCTCGGGGCTGGCTCCATCCCCAGCCTCCCCCGGCCCAGGAGCTGGGGGGCGAGACGCAGAGCCCTGAGCCCCCCTTTGGGGCAAAGCTCCAACGCTCAGATAACAGTGGTGCACCTTGGACAGCCTCCCGAGCAGCCAGAGAGGTGCTGAAGAAAGCCTACGTGTCTGCAGGACGAGCTAAATGTGTGTAAATGTCACCTACAAGACAGAACAGCCGTGCATCGTCCTGTGCAGGCACAGGTGAGGGCCACCGCTGTGAAGTGTACTACAAAAAGCCTCACAAATTACTCAGCCACGCAAACGAGGGAATGGGCTCCTTGGATAAGGGACTGACACAACTCAGAAGCACCCCTTGGCAGAACCAGAAACCCCTTTTCCATTTTAACGTCAGATCTTAAAATTGTCAGAAATTTTATGTAAAATTTCATGTCAGAAATTAAAACAAAACAAAAAAACTTTCAGACTACTTAGTCATGCTTTCAAGGTTTGCTCTGCACCATGCAGGGCTGGAAATTGATGTTTTCACCAAGCAAAGCCGGAGGTTTTTTGGTTTGTGGCTCCTGGGCAGAGCCAAGCAGCATGTAGTAACAGGGCTGAAAGTGTTAAGAGAGCACTCGCAGCTGCCCGCAGCCCGCTGCTCTGCAGTGTTCCAGGATTTGCCAGCCCAAGTATGTTGTAACTGTCCTAGGAGGATGCCAAGTTCAGGACCACGTAATTATTTACTTAGGAACTCTTCCTAATTACGTAGCACAGTTGTGAACTGATAGACCACTGTTTAAATATTAATAATTTATGAACATGCTGGCATTTAGAGAGCCCGCGCTGAGCACTGAATCAGCCATGCAATCAAACTTTAGGAAACACTAAAACCTGGTGTGTAATCAGGCACCACCCAGAGCTCCTCTGATTTCTTCTTTTTGGCAAAAAAAATTATCGCTCTGCTTTGAAGGCTGGCGAGGCAAGGAGTCAGCCGCACCCAGCCAGCCCCGACTCGGGATGGGGTGACCTCTAGTGGCCCTGCAGCACTCGCTTCCCATCCCAGTCTGCACCAGTTCACCTCTTTATTTTTCACACTACCTCCTGAATTTCATTCCACTTTCTATAAAGTGGTATCGAGCACCTGGCATTTTAATCCTAAACCCAGCAAGTACAGGTCTGTGGTGATTATCAAAGAAATGTTAAAACAACATATATTGAAAAAAGGTCTTCACATCACCATGGCACCTACCATGTTACATGCAATGGTGATGTGGCTGCTACTGGCAAACATTTGGGAACAGTAATACTTATTTGAGAAGTATTTTATTCTGAAGCTAGAAAATGCTGTTTTGGCCTTCCTAAAAATACACTGAACAGGCTCCATCTTATTTTTACTTCTGTTACCTTGAGAAGCAATTGTCCATAAGAAAGCAGGGTATTTCTGCTCCTGAAGACAAGCCTCTAAGGCCTTTGGGACATTCACTGAGGAGTTACACTTGCTTCACGTTTTCCGCTAGAAAACACTACAGAAATCAGAATAACCTCTTGAATAAGGCCTTCCCTTGATAGTCCACATCTCCTTTCTGCTTTCTGCTTCTAGCAAGCAAATCTTTCCTCTGTTAACCTACTTTCACCTAACTGAACAAAGACAGGTGAAAGAGGGTGACTGTTTAGGTGACCATAATAAAGCCTCTCTTCAGGCACAAAGGAATAACAATGTCTCCACCCAGGAAAAGCAGATTCTCTTTCCTGAATTTGCCTGGAGTAGGATTTGTACCAAGCAGAGGATGGGAAATGATCATGCTTTATGAAATAAAATCAGAGGCACAATTGTCCAAAAATGCAAGCCTAAGCATTACAAACTGAGGCCAAAGTCGATTCAAAGAAGCTGAGTTACACCAAGTTTCTCTCATAAGAGCTCTAACTACCAGGAGAACTAGATACTCTTCCCTTCCAACAAACTGAAACAGGAGGATTTTGAAAACGAGGTAGAATTTCCCACAGTAGATCTCTCAAGTATAGGCAGATACTCTTTAAACACGCTCACTGTTTACTTCAATAGCTATTCCAAGTATAAACTATAATGCTTAAGCTGAAGTGTTTGTACATCTGCAATAATGAACTTTACCTAGGATGCAAAGAAAGGTTTTTTATTGCAAGCACAGTGAGCAATGATTGGATCGCATCTCACAGGAATGTGACTGAGGTCACATTAAAACCACCCACACGCTTGTTTCTAGTGCTCCTCGTTGTCAGGTGTACATCATTTCTGCCATGTGAGACATTTTCTTTGGAATATACAAGTAATACTCCATGTATCCCGAAAGATCTTCAATAGTCACATCATCCACAAAGACCCTGGCTTGCTCAGAGCAAGAGCGTGGAGAACTTGATGGAGTTCTTGATGGCAAAGGTTGAGAGTGATCCTCAGCAACTGTTATTCTATCAGGTGCCAATGGGAAAGCGTTCTGCAAGCCAGAGAATTTGTACACTTCCATATCTTGCCATCGTTTACACTGACAGGCTTTATCTGCACAGGCACATGGCTTATTCTTGTTCAGCTTGGACACAGATTGAAAGTCAGAGAGCTGCGTAGTCTCTGGGCCTGCTTTGGATTCTAGAGACATGGCGGTGGGAGAGTTTTCCTGTTTGTTCTCTGATGTAGACTGCAAAACAGAAGTTCCCGAACAATCAACATCTCCCTTCTGGCCAACATCTGGAGCAATACAGCATCGTTCATGTGCACAAGTTTCCTTTGGGATTGGCATCCCAAACCCTGTGCCGTCATCTGGGGCATCAATCTGGCTCTTGTGCACTACTTGGCTGCACGTGGAATGTGATTTTGTGCTGCAATGGACAAACTTTGGAGGATGAAGAATTGGGGATTTGGAACGCCTGCGACGCTGGGTTCTCACAACTCCTCTTGAAGGCTTCTTCACAGGCCTACCATGGAAAGATAAAAAAAAAGTGGGTGAAGTTTCACTAAAAGACTAGTTGGATTATAGGCAACATCAGGCAAGATGCCTAGTGTGGCATGCAAGAGCTTTAACATCAGAGTATTTGGCTCATGGTATTCCACTGTCTTAGAATTTGACATTGTTTTAGTCAAGCACCACTATAAAATATGAAAGAAACACCTGGAAATAAAACCTGAAGTGCTTGTCTTAAGGATTTCATAATGAGTAAAGCATGGGAGACAAATAACCTCCAAGAGAAGGACAAAGCACAAGATGACAGCACAAAACCAATGACTCAAGGCAAGAGAATAGTTTTGTTTCAGTAGATGTGTCAAGTTCTGCATAGACATTCAAGAAACAAATTCTTTAATCTAGTTCCCAAGGCATACCGACACCTGCAATGTTGAATGGTTACTGCAAGAGATTGCCTGAAAAACAGCACTTCATATTTATATTAAGAAACATCTATAATGTTTATGTACCCAAAGCTGAGCAGCATTTCCTTGCACTTCATATAATTGTGCATAAGAACAGTAGTCACATATGACATGAAAAAGGTAGTGCGGAATATTTTTAAATAGTGTTTTTAATGAAATAAATGTGGGTCCCTTCTTTAGGGGCCCAGTTACTGGAAAACTTGCCTATTTAAATTTCACTTCCAATGCAATCACATTTGAAGTAGTCTGACAATCCTTAGATTCTCTTACCCATGCCAGGTTTCCTTAGAAGTACACACATTCTTAGGCTTGTTTTCATCTGCTGCTGTTCTAACTACTGCTCTTGGACTTGTCCCCTCACCAACAGGAAGAGAAGCAGTAGATCTGTGAAAAAGAGAATGAAAACATAACAGCCTAGATTGGTTCATACTATAAATATGAAAAAGCTTATGAAACTTCTTTTCCAGAAGACTACTCCAAATCATTTATGATGTCTTAAAAAACCTGCCCACAAAGATGACCCAAGTCTGACGCATTCCTATGCCAAAAGTTTGTATAACAAGCTTTCGCTGAAGGTGGCGTCATACAGCAAACCAAACAGACTGCAACTCCAAACTCCACACCTCGGTGATGAAGCACACAAAATAGCTAAATATCAGAGGGGGGGGAAAAACACTGCTGAAGAAATGTGCCTCTTTTTCCATAGACAAATAAGCTATTCTTTCCTAAAAATAAATGTTCTTTGGACATAAATAGACTTTGTTTATCTGAAGAACACTCATGTCTTTGTCTAGGATGATGTAAACTAAAGCTTTTCATACTACTGCAAGTTCTATCACTTCAGCAACAGAATCGTGACAGATTTTCAACTTCTATTCAAGCTAGGGATCATTTAAAAAAAATTTACTAGTTTTCCTGGTGCTATAAAACCATTCCAAACCACCATTTTCAATGAGCTATAAGAATACCCGGAATCATTTTGCCATGTTGTGCTTTTATATATTAAGCTGGCATTGACAAGGAAATTATTTTCCAAATTCTTTTTCTTAAATTGTTTTTTTAAGCAGGGCTGATCCCCTGAAAAGTGAAAATAAGTCTTTGCACGCCGTTGTAGGATGGCATTAACTGACATTTAAGAGACTATCCTATCAGTCAAGCACCTGCTATTTTCCATTTAACAAACATCAACGCAGTAGTAAATTGAAGGTCGACAGTAAAAACTACCATAACTAAAGTATGCCTGACTTGGGGGGGGACTGAGGATACCGAAGTATCGAGAGGCACTTGGGTGGTGATAGATTCCTAATGAGCTTAATTACTTAAATGAAAGATAATTTTAGAAGGCCCTCTACTTGCCATTTAGCTTCTAAAGTAATTCCAATTACCAACTTGATACTTGCATACTGCCTTACTTACACTTTTGTTTCCATCACCAGCATAACTGCATCACTGCCAATAGCTTACTGAAATTCAGTACTCTATTAATATACAGTATTAATATAATATATAATATTAATATATATATTAATAAATATGTAATCACACCCATTTGTCAGCAGAAAAAAAAAGCATTATATAGAAGCCATCTGTTCATTTTAGATAAAAAATGATTGTCTCTCACAGAAGACACACTCTGCTCGTGTTCTTCTTTCTGGGACAGTCAGGGTTAAGTGCCACATCTGAGATCTCCCATGAAACAAGACTACACAAAAAGCATTCCTTCCCATTTAGCGTTTTGGTTATAAACAGAAAATTTGTGAGTAACATCAATGAAAATAGTTTGAGTGGGAATCATGCATTGCAGATAGTGCCCTCCTTTACTGATATGGAAAGAATATTTCTCTCCTGGGAAAAGACTGGAGTTTATTCTCATGACAGGCCTTTAAAGCCATAGTAGTAAGCTAACTTCGAGTACAGCTCCAGTGCTATGGATATGACCTCTGGCAGCCAGATTCATGCCAAAATTCATTTAAAATGTGCTGTCAGTTGCTCCTTATTATTAGGTATGTTTCAAGCCTGTTGGGACCTAATAGTGATTGAACAAATCACAATTCCTTGAGAAGTGCAGTCTACAGCTAGTGAATTTATTTCCATTTAACTTGAATGAAGGCTGTCAGTGCCTAACCTTTTGGAATTACCTCCTTCCTTCAGATTGAGCACAGAGGGTGTTCCCTTCCAGTCCATTTGTAATATGTTAACTCTGTACCTCCCTGTGTTGTTACTTACCCAGCTGCGTCAACTCTTAGCTTTTTGAACGCTGTCTGCAGGCTTTCCTCTTCTCCATCCTTAGCTTCTGTTTTCATTATTGGGACGGTTGGATGCTGACAGAGTCACCATATACTGCTAAAAGCAGAAAAGAGACATACCAAACTAAGAACCAATACCTCATTAAAAACATTAGTTGCCCAGCAGCATCATAATACATGAAAGTAAGCTCCAAACAGCAAACTGCACAAAGCTGAGGTCATTCTAACAGAATGTTTCTGAAAGTTGATTCAGAACAAACTCTATGATACCCAACTATGCAACAGTCTCTCATACAACTGCATTGCTGAGTTAGCAATTTAAAGTAAAATCTGGTGTCAAGAGCATCTTGCATAAAGTTTAGACAGACTCTTCCATTTGTCTGAGAGCTGCTACCACGATAACTCCAGAAAAGGTGAAAGGTGAGAAGAAAAAACATTAGAAACAACCAACTTTATACAACTACAGGAGTTGATGTTACATATATATTAAAAACAAAAACAAACAGACCTTTCTTAAGCCAAGATAAAGTGTTAAGCTAAACATTTTTTTCTTATTTCTAGATCCCAGGTGTTTGGTTGAAATTCTCCTCTTACATTACAATTGGATGAAACACTGCAGTGAGTCACATCAGACTCACATCCTCCTGATGTGCTCTATGATCGACTAGCTACTGCTACCATGGAGGACCAAAGGACAAAGAACACACTGCTTTTAAAACACATTAAAATTAAATATAAGTTGTTCAAATTTAAGCAGGTTGAATAAAAAAGTTAATTACATTCGCAGTATACCAAAATAGTCAAAGTGAGTTAAACTGCATCTGTTTTTGCTCACACACACTGGACTATTAGAAAGAAAAAGTGAAGCAGGACTCAGAAGTGATTATTTTTGCATGCCATACTCCTCAATTTTACAAGTTTGCTTTTTTTTTTTTTTTGATTAAATAAACCAGAAGCAGTAAACTCACAACAAAAACTGGTCAAGACTGTGAAAGAATCTGAACAACCAGAATCCTCAACTTTGCTTATACCACCCACCCAAAAGAAATTTTCTACACATCTTGACAATCAAGACTATCCCAATTTCAGAAAAAAAGAAGTCTCAAAAAAAAAAAAAAAAGAAGTCTCATTTCTACACCACAAGCTCAGCATTTGTTGAAGTTTGCCTGGGCAGTTAACCTGCTTCACTTTATACGTTTTGAAAAGAACATACTTTTCACCTGTGTAGTCTCCATTACCACACATCAAAGCCCTTAAACAGAGGTATTTTGCTACTGAGGTCTCTGCAAAACTGCTTTTTAACAGGATAGAAGTTCAATGGATTGACTTGAGTGCTTCTGGAAAAAGGGGGCCATTTGGTGGTAGCCTGGTTGCGTGGGTTGTGAGCAGATCATCAGTGTGTTTTTTTTTTTTTTCAAAAATTTACAAGGGGAAGTCACGCTTGACCAACTTGATAACCTTCTATGATGACACGACTGGCTTGGCAGACAAGGGGAGAACAGTGGATGTTTACTTTGACTTCAGTAAGGTATTCAAACACAAGATTCCAACAAGATCCCCACAAGATCCTGACAGAGAAGCTGATGAAGCACAGGCCGGATGAGCTGCACAGTTCAGCACAGAGGATGGGGAACAGTGGCACAAAGTCAAGCTGGAAGCCAGTAACGAGCGGTGTACCCCAGCAGTCAATAGTGGGGCCACTTTTGCCTAACACCTTCATCAAAGATCTGGATGACAGCACAAAGAGTAGCCCCAGCAAGTTTGCTGATGATACAGCACGGGCAGGAGATGTGGATGCACTGAGGGTATAGTGCTGCCACCCAGACAGACCTTGACAGGCTGGAGAAATGGGCTGAATGAGGGGCATTGCAAAGCCTGGCCCTGGGGAGCAACCCCAGGCACCACCAGCACATGCTGGGGGCCACCCAGCTGGAAAGCAGCCAGCAGAAAAGGCCCTGGGGTCCTGGGGGATGCTATGGGGAACACAAACCAGCAATGTGCCCTGCTTGCAAAGAATGCTCACGGTATGCTGGGCTCCTTCAGGCAAAACATTGCCAGCAGGTCAGGGGAAGTGATTCTTCCCCTCTGCTCAGCACCAGTAAGGCTGTGCCTGGATTGCTGGGTCCAGTTCTGGGCTCCCCAGTACCAAAGAGATGTGGAGCTACTGGGAAGAGCAGGGTCAAAAGGATGAGTAAGGGACTGGGGCATCTCTCCTGTGATAAAAGGTGGGGAACTCGGGCTGTTCAGCACGGAGAAGGCTCGGGGGGATCTTAGTGTCTAAATATGCCCGAGGGAAGGGCACAAAGAAGTCAGAGCCAGGCTCTTTTCGGCGGTGCCTGGGGACAGGGCCAGACGCTAAGGGCACAGCCTGGAAAAGGAGAAGTTCTGTCTGAACAGCAGGAAGCACTCTGCGCTTTCTGTAGCATGGAAAAGAAGAAGTCTGGGTACAGAAAAGGAGCCTCCCGCCCCTCAGAAGCTCAGCTGCTTGTGGGGACGCGGGGCGGGAACTCCTGCTCCGGGCCAGCCCCATTGAGCCGGGGCTGGGAGCTGGTGGCGCTGCCCGTCCGGGCCGCACCGCGGGCAGCTCCGTGCCTCAGGGGGGAGCAACCAGCGGGGGAAGCGGCCAGCACAGGCGCCGCGCTCCTCTCAGCAGGGCAGCGCTTCACACCGCCCGTCAGGAGGCTGCCCCTCGCCCCACGGAGCCTCCTTCAGCGCCCGGCTCCCTGCGGGCCCTCACTCAGCAACGAGCCACCGCCAGCGGCTCCCGGCTGCCGCGGGACACAGCGCGGGGCTGCCCCCAGCCCTCCTGCTGCCCCCACAGCCCTGCTATTCCTCCCCCTCCCCCCTATTTACCCTCCAACCCCCCCCGTCCCCTCCCCAGCTCCATCCCCGGCCCCCCCAGCCCCGTACCTGCCCGCCTGTCCCCAGCCCCGCCCGGCAGCGCTGCGGCGGGGCCCGGCCCGGGAGGAGGCGGCGGCGGCGGGACGCGAACCCGGGTCAGGAAGGGAAAGGGAGGGGAGGGGGGAGGGAGTTTAAATAAAAAAAATAAAAAAAATAAAAAAAAGCCCCGAAGGCCGCATGCGCGCTGCGCCCCGCGCCGCTGACGCCAGTTCCTGTTGTGCTCGGGGCCCGGCGCCGCCCCGGCAGCGAGGCGGGAGGGGGGGGCGGGGGGCGCCTCACGGAGCGCGGCCCGGGCGGAGCGGCCGGACCGGGACCGGGACCGGGGCCGGGACCGGGACCGGGGCCGCCTCACGGAGCCGGGCGGGGCCCCACGGGACGGGGTAGGCACCGGGGGGCGGCCGGGAGCGGGCGGCGGGGGCACCGGGGGAGCTTTAACCCTCCCCCCCCCCCGGGGGGTTCCTGAGGCGCAGCCCCCGGTGGGAGCCCGTTGGAGCTCGGTGCCGCCTCACCGAGCCCCCCCCCCCCCCGCTGTGTGTTGTAGCTCCCGGCGCATGGCCCGGCCCCCCCATGGCAGCCAAGGAGGAGGAGGAGGAGAGCCTGCAGCTGGCCTTCAAAAAGCTGCGGGTGGACGCGGCGGGGTGAGTGAGCGAGCCCGGGGAGGGCCCCGGCGGGGCAGGCTGTGCTGGGGGGCTGCCTGAGCGGGGAGGAGGCTCCGAGGGGAGGAAACTGCATTGCTTGAAACGAAACGCGGTCCTTGTAACTGCCCGCTGAGCAAAGCAGCGCTTTGGTGCTGGTTTTGGCTCGGTATCACACTGAAGTTGCACAGTGACAGCGTGAAACCCTGACGTGACCCGCCCAGACACACTCAGCCTGCCCTGGTAGCGTTACTCACCCTGTGAGACACGGGGCTTGCTCATCCTTCTGTCGAAATGCCGGGGCCTTCAGGCTCAGCATCATTTACAGCAGCACATAAGCATTTGCCTGGAGAGCCTCTGAAGAAGAGTCCCCAAACTTTGTGCTGCTCTAGAGCCGGGCCTTACTGGCAGTTAGCGTGTGGGCTAAATGCGGGCACTGATAATTTCTTATTTCAGAAGATAACAGAGTAAAATGTCTGTGGACATTTTTATACCCCAAACATTTGATAACGCACCAAATACATAGATAATATGTAGTATAAGCTTGTTCCTTTGCAGCGGGAGATAACAAAATTATGTAGGCTAATACATTGTGAGATAGTTCACTTGAAGCCTTTTGGGAATTCGCCGGCATAAGGGAAAGCTTTTGTACTGATCACTAACGTTGGCTTATGAGCTCATCTCCATAGCCATCAATACTCTGAACTCATGACCTCCCCTGCTCAATAAAAATACATTTTCATTTGCTACTCCTTTTATATATTTGAGGATGTCTTCTGTTAAATGTGGAAAAAAATACCTGTTCTATAGATCTGAGAGAAGCAAGGAGCAGTGCTTACTAACCATACTGCTCTTCATGTGTTGCCAGTGTGGAATTCTGTTTGATGCCCGATGACCTCTCTTCAGTCCCAAAAAGATCTTGTTTTGAACAGCTAATACCTACCGACTAGTCTGTTAAGATGAACTTTGGGTGGGGTGCTTGGCTCTTCTGATAGAATTTCAGACACTGTACTTAGGATTTTCTGTCCTGTGTTCTAAATCACATATCTGGCTGTCAAATCCATATGCTGATATTTTGTTAAGCATCTCTGTAATTGCTTGCACTTCCATACTGAACTAGGCGCAGAGCACTGTGGTAAGGCACGCAAGGTGAGGTATGTTTGTTGCCTGGATTTCCAGGGCCAGAAGTATTTATTTTTTCCCATTATACGTTTATCTGGAAGTTTTAATGAGAAATAAATTGGTACTCTCTCCTTGTTTGTTGCTGTACCTCATCCACATCTGACTATTCCTCAGCTTGCTGCTGTGGGTTCCTGACTTTGCATTTTAGATGAGTAGGAGTCTATCTTTAACAACTATTGTCAGACAAAAATAATTGGAACATGAGTTTACATTCCTTTAATGTGTCATCTTGTTGCTAATAGGGCATGACATCAGCCTCTGGGCATTTTGGCCTTGTTTCCTCACATCCCACCTATTTTTAGGCACTTAACTGTGGTCAACAGAAAAAGGGTGGTTGGGCAGATCTCCGTGAGATCCTGCTTCTAACCACTGACTATAGAGGAAGTCAGGGCTGCAAACCGAATTGTCCTCACTAAGCATCTAAACCTATGAGGCTGCATCCAGATCTTTGAAGCCATATGTTGAGGCACCATTGTAACGTGGCATTTTCCTCTTTACTTAGATGTATTGCAGCTCTGTCTGTGGGCGACGGGACGATTCTCAGGACACCGATAAGAACAGCAGTGGATGGAGCCAAACAACAGTCTGTTTGCTCCAAGGAAGCATGGCATGGGTAAAACATCCCGTTAGCTGCACCATACGTGTATCGAGACATTTAAATCTTGTGTACTGTTTCTACTGAAAGTTGTTGTTAATTATGTGGCTGAACATATCTTTCCTCTCCTTTCTATTGCAAATATTTACCATAACTGTTTGATATGATTTTTTTAAGAGGCTTAATACTTAAAAAAAATAAAAAAAATAAAAAAAATATTGCCTCTTGTTAGAGAGAAGGTACCTAAACCTTTATTTTCCACTAATCTCCTCAGAGATCCTTCTCTTCAAGTCTTTAATGTTTGCACCTTTCTCTCACCCCTTTTGGGGTTCTTTTATTTCTGTTTTGAAGTACCTGGATATTCAGTGTAATTCTGCCAGCAGCTCTAACCGATACCAGGTTCTGCATTCCAGTTCAGTTTGGGATGACAAGCACCTTCAACAAAAGATTTTGGGGGAGGTACCTTTAAAACAGGGAGGATGTTATGGATCTCTCCTTTGGGGGAGCTCCAGTTCACTTAAGCTTCTCCACTGTTCCTGTCAGAGATTGTATGCCACCAGTCATCCAATTTTTCTAAAAAGAAAAAAAAAAAAAAAAAAAACACACACCATTATGTACACACACATTTATTTAGATATATACAGTTAGCCACATTTTAGAGCTTTTTGGCGTAGATTCTGTCGTTACATACCTGTTGACCCGTTACAACCCCACAGGTGTGTGAGAAAGCCTTCGAGAGGGTCGGCGAGAGTTCCACGTCGCAGACGTTCCAAGTCCCCTGTCCTGCATCCCCCCAAGTTTACATACTGCAACGTGAAAGCCAGCGGCCAGCTGAAACACAAAACCCAGTCAGACGTGTCAAAGAGTAACGTCACTCCAGACGTTTTTGTTCCAGCAGAACACGGTACAAAGGACAGGCATGATTCTCACTTTGAGGCCAGTGATGACAGAAGAGCCAGAACTGAACCTCTGGAAGCTTCCACCACTCAAGAGCCTTTGGGGAAGTCGAGGGAGAGTTGCCTCGGTCTCTCCTCGTCCTTCGAGACTAGCTTGCACTCAAGCCAAACCTCAGATTTCCAGTCCTTATCCATGCTTAGCAATGGCAAGCAGTGCCCTTGTACGGACAAGAAGTGCCAGTGCAGGCAGTGGCGCTCCATGGAGGTGTACTCTTTCTCTGGTTTACGGAGCGTCCTGTCTGAGTGTGAGAAGGCAGTCCTGGGAGCACGCGCCCGCTCGCGTCAGAACAGGTCCCCGTGTGGAGCGGCCGCATCGGGTTCTCCCAGGTCGTGTTCTGAGCAAGCTCGAGCCTTTGTGGATGATGTGACTATTGAAGATCTTTCAGGCTACATGGAATACTACTTATATATTCCTAAGAAGATGTCCCACATGGCAGAAATGATGTACACTTGACTGAAAGCAATAGAGAACCATGATTCAGAGTTCGGAGCGATGGTTGGGTTAATAGCCTTGTCAGTGCCATGTTTTTGCTGTTGTGTGTTTGATCAAATGTTTCTTTGCATCATACAGTTTAGTTTTCTAATAAAATAAAAAATGGAATATAGTTTCTGAGCTTAGTTCTAAAAAGAATGCACTAAGGTCTCTAAATACCTTAACAAAAGCACTGTAGATCAAACAAACTCCATTTGTTTTTTGGTTTGTGCTGTGGATATTCAAGCTCTGTACTCTGTTCTCACTGTGTCTTTGGAAAAGAACCTTTTAGGTTTTGTTCTGAAATTTTGCAGTGTTTGGAAAGTTCATTCTTAACATGTCCCAATACGTAGCGAAATGTTTCATGGCTACAGCTCTGTCCTCCTCATCCTGCTCTAGGAAGAAGAATGAGAAGGCATTCAGTGTTTTGGATAGGATGCATCACCTTTCCTCGAACGCTGCCTGGCTCCTTTTTAGTTGGATCAATTGGGAGTGCTTCCTCCTCTCAGATTTGGGGGGAGGTCTGGAGTGTGTGGGTGTGTGCTTGGACCCTTTTGTAATCTAACTAGCTCACTCTTAAGCAGTTCTATTTTTCTGCAGATAAGTGAAGCTCTCAGAAGCAAAGATATATTTTGTTATTTGTGCTTTACAGATGGAATGATTTAAGGGAGAGCAAAGCAGGCTAACAGTTTCTTGGGGCGTGCTGTCTCAGACGTGGAGATTGTGGAGCCATCTATACACAGTTTGTGCATGTTTGATACACAAAGCAGTTTGGAGCTGGGATAAGCAAGGATTGTGTATCATACAGGCTTTGTGGTGTAGAGCTATAACATTCCATCTGGTTGAAAATACTGAAATAAAAAGAAAATTGTTGCTGAGACTTGCATTAATAAATGTTTGTCAAAACCCTACAAATTAAAGCCTGAATAATTTGATTTACACTCATTTTCCCCCAGGATAATGGGTTGGTTTTGCTTTGTTTTTAGAAATAACCAAAAGTCTGCTTTCAGTGTCGGAGGCAAGCACATGCTAAACAGCTGCATTCAAGTAAAATAGTGCAATTTTTACTTACACGTCTCAAGATCAGTGATCAGCAAGCCAAGGAACTGCAAGTAGTTGTATACAAATAGGTAACAGATTGTTGGCCTTGCATTCTGTGCTAGAGAAGTCACAGACGTTCCAGGTGATTGCTTTCTGATTTTATTCTGGTCATCCCTAAAGTCTACGCTATGCTTCTGCTAAATTCAGGTGAAAAGTTTTTAAGAAATCCAAGTAAATTTATGTGAGAATACCATTAAACCTTACTTCGCTCTTAAGCTTTGCCACTTCATACAGTTACTTAGCAAGCAATAGTGGCTGGTGCTCTCAAGGTAACTGATTCCTAAGTTTTGTCTTCCATATCTCCCTTACCTACCTCTGAGTTAGGAAGGAGGAAGAGGGATGTGTAGGTACTTAATTAATTTGTTGCTGCTGTTTTTCAAAGGATTAACACTTTGAAAGTGCTAATTTTCTTTTCCATGTTTTGTTTCCATCCCCTCTTTCAAAGGCCCGATGTGCCTGGGGAAGGAAGGAAATAGGAAGTTCAGCAAGTCCAAGATACATCCAGGAGTTTAGGGAGGCGAGAGGTGAATTCAAATTGCCACAAGACTGGGTGAGAGGAAGGGTTCTCTGGACACGTTTCCATGGAGTTCCTTGCAAGGCAGGATAACTAGTAGCTAGAGGGAGAAAAAAAAAGAGGCAAAAGCTCAGTGGTGGCATATCCTGCCCGAACTGCTATTTGTGAGAGTATTTAAACATCCAGTGAGGCCTGCAGCCTGGAAACTCTCACTGGAAACTCAGACTTTTTTAGCAAACAGCACCTGGTCTGGGAACGTCTGCACAGCACCGCTGCCCTGACCAGCGCTGCAGCCCTCAGACCCACCTGCTGATGGGACTGGACAGGGGGTGTCCCCTGTGACACCCCGTTCCTTGCCATTCCTCTACCCGCAGCAGCATAACGTCGATAAAACCAGAGGCAATCGAGGCAATCCTTCACTGCGGTCTGCCTGCTCCCAGAGGGCTGCCCGAAGGCCAGGAGAGCTTGTCTGGAGGAACCTGATGCCAGCTGGAGCCCACAAATATTGTCCCTCTCGCCCTAACGCCGTCCCTCCTACATCAGCAGCACCAGGACGTGTTTTTTCAGCATCCCCCCTCCACCCGCAGCATTTTACAAGCGACTTGCCTATCTGATTTCAGGGCCAGTTCAGCCGAAGCCTGGTGCAGAAGGGCACCTGGGATCGATGACATTTATTTCTCACCTTACAGAAGCCAAACCGAGCCCTGGCTGAGCTTTACCTCGGCAGACGCTGAATCAGGACACCCAGAAAAAGAAAAAAGAAAAAAGATTGTGGCTGAGTTCTGCAGCTCCGCGTGGAGCTGGGGCCAGGACGATGGCAAGGTCAGGCAAGGTCAGGCCCCGCTAAAGGCGCCCGCACCGATCCTGCCCTTTTGCTCGGTTTGGCAAGCAAGGATTTGGGATTTTGCTCTGGCCAGCAAGGCGCTGGGTAAATGAACGCACTCAGAGGGGCCGCAGACCCGCAGGACACGAGGGATGCAGAGGGTGCTCCTTGCTCCATTCCCAGCTGCGCAGCAGCTTCAGCACCAAACGTGCCACTAGATGGAGCCTGCCAGACACCGACCCGCAGGAGGAAACGGTTCTGGTTCTCCCAAGCGATTCCTTCCCTTTTCTACAGCCAGAGATGCCCCTTCCCTGTGTCAGGATCCCCAGAGGATGCTGCCTGCCAGCAGCAGGGACAGCCGAGTACAGACAGCACCACGCAGCTCGGCGCTGGGGCCGGCTCCTTCCCCAGCCACCAAGTTGCTCGGTTGGCAGCAGCAAAGGCCACCAACAAGGTTTTGCAGCCCTGGCACCCATCACCTGGGAGCAGGACGTCCTGACACCAAGGGGAGAGCCAGTACCCCCCAAAACTGCTCCTCTCTCTGGCAGCCAGTCCCACCCGCGGGGAATTGCCCCCAGCCAGATGGAGCAGGAGCGTGACGAGGCCAAGCGCCACCAAACCACCAGGCTGCCAGGCTGGCGCGTGCATAAAGGTGCCAGCTGGCCACACAAGGGCGTGCAAATCTCTGCTGGGATGCTTGTGTGCAAATCCCTGCTGGGACGCCTGCAGCGCACAGAGGGCAACAGCCACAGGGACCCCTCGGCTTCCCAAGTGCACAAACCCCGCAGCCATACAGCTTTGTCCCACCTTGCAACTGTGAAATAGCCCCTAACAACACCCGTTAGCCAGGAATAGACTCGTGCTCTCCCAAAAGCACTGAATATCCATAAAGAACCATTGCTGCTGCTTTCCATTCAAGGCTGTAAAGCAGGCAAGACGCCCGCTGGACATTTTAAAGCCGGCATCCGCAGCTGAAGCCATTTATCACCCATCAGCCCTACCTACGACAGCGAAAACCCTTTAACCCCTGCTGGGAAACATCGAGGCTCGGAGCTGCCCCGGATTGCTGAGCCAGCAGGCGTGCAGCGGGAGCCCCCGGCGCCACCTCGCCCATCGTGGCGATGCTGCGAGCGTGCCTGCTCCCCAGGGAGCGCAGCCAGGAGCCGTGGGGCTGCGCGTCCACCCGCGCCAACGCCGTGCCCACGCCGTGCCCGCCGGGGCGCAGGGAGCTGGAGCTGCCCCGGGAGTGATGCTGCTGGCGGGAGCCCATGTGATGCTGGGCTAGCGCGGCTCCTCCATCGTCCCCCTCCGCTCGCAGGCTGTCATGGCGACTCCCAATAATGTCACTCCCACCAACTGCAGCTGGTGGCCCATCTCGGCTCTGGAAAACGACGCGGGGAAAGGCAAGGATGGGGAGGAAAATCAGGATCCGACAGATCCCGCTCTCAAAGCCCAGGACAGGCTGGTTTTGTACCACTGGACCCAGTCCTTCAGCTCCCAAAAGGTAAAGCGCTCGGCCGGCTTCTCGGGAAGAATCACCTCCAGCATCCAGGGCTCACCCTTGCCTCGGGAGGAGGGGGCTCGGGGAAGAGCCAGCAGCTATTTCCCCAGGCTGGCAAGGGGAGCGGCGTGTGCCGGGTCAGCTCTTTTGTACCCGCATTTCTGCGTTTCAACAGCATCTCCCTGGGGAAGGGATGTGGGAGGGGGGGGCTCAGCCAAATCCTGCTGTGGCCCTGAGACCAGGCTTTGCAGCGGGAGACGCCTCTGCTTTGTGTTCGCTCCCGACCCTCTCTCGTGTGGCGGGCGTGCAGACAAAGGCTGAGCCCGGGACCACCCTGCAGCTGGGGGCCGCGGGACCCCCGCGCCTCCCGGAGCAGGGAGCGACCCTGGGACACGGCCCCGTGCTGGGAACATTTTGCCCTGGCACTGCTGCAGCAGCCTGGAAATCCCAGTCCTGTGCAAGGCACCGCGGGGGAGGGTGGTGGGGGGGGGGAGTACAGCCAGAAACCCCATTTCTGGGTGGTGGTAAACGCTCATTTTGCGGCGCAGCAGCGGCGTATCAAACCTGACCTCCTGCCGGCCCCTCTGTCATTCCCCTGACACTGACACCAGAAGGGCAGTGAGCTACTTGGGGGGCACCCATGGGGCCCTGGGGTGCCCCACGGCAGGGATGTCCCCATCTGCTCGTGTGCACCACGGGCCCGTAGGCGCCCGATGCAGCAGGGCAGCCGCACACGCTCGGCCCCACCGTGCTGATCTGGATCTGCACCAGGAAGGGGATGCTCTCTGGGCTGCAGCAGGCAACGGGGGGGCTTTTATTTATTTTTTGGTTGTTGCTGACACAGCCTCTAGCAGCTGGGACCCCTCCTTGGGTCACAGGCACCCCCAGGAACCCTGGCACCCCAGGCTGCCCCTGCCTGGTCCCTGCTGGACCCGCTCTCAGGTCCCGATGGCAAAAGGGAATGGGGCAAGAGTGGGAGCCCAAGGGGGCACCTGGAGTGGCCCCAGCCAGGGTTTGTCCCTCGGGTGGGAAGAAAACGCTGGGAGCAATTTCCTATTGAGGGAAGCAGGCTTTTCCTTGCCTGACTTAAAAGGAAAAAAAATATTAATTTGTCAGCCCCATAAATAATTAATGGCTAATTCCCCAGGAACTCTGAAGTGCTCATAGAAATGCTTATATTTGTTAAGACATATTTTTAGCTGCTGCTGCTGCTTGGAGGAAAACAAGTGATTTGCCTTCATTCAGCAGTTCTGAGAAACATGGCTCTCTGACATCCCTGCGGGGTGTTTTGGCCTGCCTGACATACTTGGTTCACAATGGCCAGTTTTTTTATAATCCAGAAGCTTGAAATGGGATCCCGAGTGCACACTCAACAACACCCCAAGCACAGGAAAGAGCAGCCAGTCTCTCAGAGGAGGATGCTGAGCTGTGCACAGCACCCCAGGGCCCAGCAGGGACCCGATTCCTACACCCAGCCCTGTCCCCAGCTCCCTCCCCCAGCCGGGCTCCTGTCTGTACAAGGGGCCAGGGCTGCCCCAGAGGCAGCCTGGCAGGAAAGAAGAGGAGCAGACACCAGGGAGACCAAGTGCCGTGGTACAGGAGGCACAAAGGGGTGCAGGGGGTGAGCTATGCCCCAAGGAAACACACAAGAGGCAGGGCAGGACTCCAGCAGGGAGAAGGAGAAAACACAGGCAGGGCTCTCCTTGCTCCCAGGGCTTCCTGGAGTACTCCAGCTGCCTGAAAGCCTCCCCAAAACACAGACTTTTTCCAAAACGTGCCCAGCAAAGACAGAGCCTGACCCCAAGAGCAGGGCATACCTGAATTTCCACCCGGGTTTCCTCCAGCCAGGCTGAAGCATCCCCTGGGCACAAGGTGTAGCATTGCTGCAGACGCCTCCTCTTCCTCTTCTTCCTCTCTGGGTGTGTGTGGGTGCCCTGCCCAGCTGGGACCCACAGCCCCATCACAGATCCCCCCCAGCTGGGGAGCTGCCACCTCTGCCTGCCCCCACCTGCTGCTGAGGGCCCCAGGACCCCATCCCTAAATTCATCTGTGTGTCACGCAGGCCACCAACCACACAGAAGTGACAAATTCTGCATGATTCTGGGTGGGCAGAGGTCTCCCTCGTGATATTTCCATCCATTGCCAGCGAGGGAAACCCTCACCTTGGCTCCTTGCAGGGGGAGTGAGTTGTGCACGGTGCTGTGCCAGGGGGTGATGCGTGCCCCATGGCCTCGGAGCACTTTTGGGGCCAGCTTGGGCCCGTTCCCCCCCGTTCCCCACTGCAGGTGCGGCTGGTCATCGCAGAGAAGGGGCTGCCCTGCGAGGAGCGGGACGTCAGCATGCCCCTGCTGGAGCACAAGGAGCCCTGGTTCATGCGGCTCAACCTGGGCGAGGAGGTGCCCGTCATCATCCACAGGGACAACATCATCAGTGACTACAACCAGATCATCGACTACATGGAGAAGAACTTCACGGGAGGTAAGGGGGGGGGCAGAGCCGCGTGGCCGAGCTGCATCGCAGCGGAGATTTAGTGCTGAGTGAGATGCTGTTGGCTGGATGCAGCCGTCTCTCCCTGCAAAGTTCCAGCTGTCCCCAAAAGGAGCAGTGACCGAGCAGCCCACCCAACACTTTCACGTTTTCCCATGAAAAATGTCCTTGAGGCCTCGCAGGGTGTGGGGAAAATGGCCCTAGCGAGGTCAAACAAAGGGAGCGGTGCTGGAGACTGTGGGGCGATGTGACACGGATCCAGAGGAGGGGACTGGGAAGGGGAACCTTGCGTCCCCCCAGGGCAGGGCTGCAGTGCCCGGCTGACCCCGGGATGCTGAGCGGTGCTGTATGGCAAGCAGCACCTCAAGCCCCTTTGCCCTCATTGTCCCAACTCTGCAGCTGCCCAGCTGGGACACTCAGCCGGGGGACTTCAAAGCCAAGCAGGGAGCTTTGGCTGCAGCATCACGACGCTCGCCCCAGCATCCATCACCCTTGCGACAGAGACATCAAAACCATCTCAAAATAGCTCCCCCAGCAAGGGCGCCTTGCCAGCCTCAGCTGCTGTCCTCTCCCGGCCTCACCGTGCTGCTCAGCAGAGGAATGGCGCTTCCCCGCTGTGGGGACAGATGGACGGACACCCCAAATCCCATGGGGGAGCCCTCGCCAGCAGCGGCTTCCAGGAGGGGGCAGCCCCACACCCTGGGGGCCCCGAGGTTCACTGCCCCGTGGGGCCGCAGTCCCCACTCCACTCGGTGCCGTCACCTGGGCGCTGTGAGGAGCAGGTGACGAGGCATCTGCTGGCAGCACGCTGCCCCAGCAGGGGAGGGACATGAGTTAACGCCGAGGCAGGGAACAGCTCCGAGCACGGTGGGGATTTGTGGCCCTGCCAGAGGATGTTGTGCTCTTTTTTGGGGGGACGAGCAGCAATATCCCCTTGCAGCAGCAGCCGGGAGCCAGCACAGGTACCAGGGAGACTGCTCCTGCCTCTTCCTTTGCCCTCCAAAACACAGCAAGTATTTTTCTTCAGGAGCTGGCAACAAAATCTTTCCGCTGTCACTTGAGCTTTGCTGCTGTGGAGGAACGCGGTGTTCCCTCCCCGCTGCTCCGGGGAAACTCCTGCCCTCGAGCTCTTCCAGCCAGGTGCATTTTCTTAACTTTCCACTGAGAAACGTGATGAGGGGAGCACCTGGGGAGAGGAAGGATGGCCCAGGGCCATCACCCCCTTCTGCACCACCTGCTCTGGAGCCGTGGCCCACCAAAATTAATGACAAAAAGCACCACCAGGGTGGCACTGCGGTGGTCCGAGGAGGCATCACCCACCCTGCAGCAACACGCAGGGCTTGGAAATGCCTCTACTAGAAGGAGCAGTCACAGAGCTTGTTTCCAGGACTGGGATCTTTTTCTGCTAGTTATGCTGAGCTACCATTAAATGCCAGCACGATAAGCAATATTTTTCCTTTTTCTGGGCCACCTTTGTATGGGCCATCAGCTGCTGGCCACAGGCACCCGCACCGCCCAGATCGGCTGCAGCGTGCAGAGGCTGAACAAACGCCGTCCCCCCAGCAGGATGGTGAAGGACAGGGGCTGGCAGCCAGCAGCTCCTGTTTCCTCGTGGTCACTCCCTCCAGCTGCTGGATGGGGCTGTGGCACTGGGCACACTGGTTTCCAGCCCTGGCACCAGCCCATGCACCACGAGGAGGGAGCACGCAGGCTGCAGGTTGGTTGTCACCATCCCATTCAGCCGGGTGCTTTCCTCCTGTGGAAACTCCAAAATTGGAGACCTGGAGCACAGGCAGCAGCGTGTAATTGCTTCAAAGGGAGCTGGGGGGACAGCGGGTGCCTCTGCTCTTGCTGTCACCTCCCCTTGCTGTGTGTTGTGGGGTCTGCATCCAACCCCCCACCCAGTCCCCCGGTCAGAGGTGCCGGAAGGTTTGCAATACCTGGGCTGCCCAAGCTTCTGCTGTCCGTCCCTGCTGGGCCGGCCTCTGCCCTGCCTTGCTCCCACCACCACCAGTGCCAGAATCATTATTTTGGGCCCCTAATTAGGGAGCAGCATCAGTCACATCTGCAAAAGTCCATCTGCTGCTGCACCCTTTGCTCAGCCCCAGAAGCCAGCAAGGAACACACGGACAGCCCAGCTTGCTGAGCCCCAGCAGTAAATCTGGGGGCTTATTAACTATCAGCAAAAGCCATAAACTTTTACGATCCCATAAAGAAACGGGCCTGATATTCTTGGAGGAGACAACAGGAATGGTTCCCTCCTCCCGGTGTCATCTGCTGCGCATTTTGAGCTGTAAATGAAATAAAGGAGCAGGACGCAAACCGCCATGCAGTGAGAATGAGGAAAGCACAACAGGCCGAGGATGCTGCTGGGACGAGGGATGCTCCTGTGGTTTCAGCACTGGGTGAGAGTTGAGGGGAGAGGTGCTCGGCTCCTTGCTCTGTCAGCCTCATTACCTATATTGAATGGGATTTTCAAGGAGACTCAAAAAAATGAGGTATCTCATTGCACTGGTGTAGAGTCTGCAGGTCTGGGCTCCTTTCTGCAGAAGGAAAATGTTTCGTTCCCCTGCTTGGCTGCGAAACCAGAGGACTGCAAACTGGGCTCCAGCAGGGGCTCACCCACCGAGCCCCACACTGCTGACAGCTTTCCTTTGCCCCTTTCAGACAACGTCCCCCAGCTGATCCCTGAGCCCGGCACCCCGCTGCACTCGCGGGTGCTGCAGTACCGGGAGCTGCTGGACTCGCTGCCCATGGACGCCTACACGCACGGCTGCATCCTGCACCCCGAGCTCACCACCGACTCCATGATCCCAAAGTACGCGACCGCTGAGATCCGCAGTAAGTTGCCTCTGGGGCAGGGGGCTGGCGGGACGGCACCGCGGCCCTTCCTTCAGGCAAGGCAGGGAAAATGGCAAAGCAGAGCTGCCGGGGAGCTGCAGGTGCCCTGGGGAGGCTTCCTGGCCCTGGGGTGCCCCCCATCACCCCTATTCCAAGGGTTCTCCCAAGGCACTGGGTGCCTGGCTGCCTCCCTCCCCAGCAGTGCCGTCACCACGCTCAGTGCATCCTCGTGCAGCTCTTTTTGGGGTGTTCCCTTCCCGCTCCCCCTCTTCCCTCCAGTAACTCCAAGGGTGCAGGTGGGGGAGCAGAGCGAGGTTGAATTGCAGAGGGTGGATGAATTGGCAGCAGCCAGCACGCAGCCTCCAAGCACTCATGAAACTTTGATGATGCTCAATATAACTCAGCAGCTGGGCTCGCTCCTGGAGAGCCCCTCTCCAGAAAAGTGACTTTGTCTGGATGGCACCGACCTGCCCCACATCTCCCCCCTCCAGCAGGCTCCAGCCCCAGGCAGTTCCCATAACAAAGTCACGTTTTACCTCCCACAGGAGGGACCCAAACTCATGCCTTGGATAAAGGCATCACGCAGAGCCCAGTCCGCTCCCCAGAGCGTGCTGCTGCACTGCTTCACACCACCCGCCTGACTCACCGCGCTGCCCGGGGCCTGCCAAGATGTTTCAAAATCTCTCGCCTTCCACAGCTCCTGGCTGGTGGCGTTTTCCCCAAACCATCGCAGAGGAGGGGCTGTGCGATGGCTGGGCAGTTCAGGTGCCCTGGTGCTGGGGGTGCCCTGCTTCCCTGTGGTGCTGCCCTTGATGGCCCCAGGGGATGGCTTGGCAGCCCCACCGTGCTGGGGAAGGGCCTGGAAATGTGTCCCCAGGAGGAGAACCAAGGGCCAGGCTCTCCCGAGCAGAGCAGGTGCACTGGGGAGAGCAGGGCTGGGCCTTGCTGGGTGGGCAGCGGGGGTGCAGGGCAGGAGCAGGCAATGCTGCCGGGATGCAAATTCACCCTGGCGGTGAAATGTTGAGTTTTCCCTTGGGAAATCATCCCAGCAGCTCCGGGATGACTTGCAAAGGTGGCAAACACACCTGATGTAAGCCAGGGGGCTGTAAATCAGGCAGCGCAGCCGCTGTTCTGCTCCCAGGCCAGGCACAGCTCCATGCCCTCCTTTCAGTCCCTCTCCTGCTCCATTGTGGCAGCGGGGTGAGGCATGGCTCAGGATGGCAGCTTTGTATTTGGGCTGGGGGATGCGCAGAGCTGAGCCCAGGGACCCCTCTGCTGGGAACCCCCCATTAGTGCAGTTTTACTACCTTCTCCCTTCCCCTGTGTCTTTTCCTACCAAATCCCTCTGCCTGTGCATCGCAGAGGAGAAGAGGCTACTCTGTGCAAGGAGCTCTTGCAACAGGCAAAGTCTGCGTGGTTTCAGGCTGGTGTGAACACGTCTGCTGGCGTTAGGCAATCGCCAGCTCTTGCAACAAACCAGCCCTGATCCCTGCTGCCCAGATCCCAGCAGCAGCCTAGGACCTGAGGTCTGAGTTTTGCTCCATCTGGCACAGAGCTTCGCTGTTAGGAAAGGGCTGGCAGACTGAGCCAGGCTGAACCAAACATCAGCTGTGCTGCCTAAACCTGACCCCTCTCCCCAGTTTTTGGATGCCTCTCTGCCAGCCCTTTGGGGCAGGCACCAGTTTTCTGCCTGGTTTTGCCCCATGCAAGACTCAGCAAAGGGGATGAGCTGCCCTGCTCCCAGCAGAGCCAGGGAACGCGGCCCCAGAGGGA